TCTACTTTTGCAACCTGTACAACAGAAGAACCTGTAAAAGGTAGGATCTTGTTGATTCGTGACATTCCCTCAAGCCATTTTTCCTTGTCCTGATCCAAAGTACTTTGCTTTTTAAAAATGTTAATCTTCCCAGCAACAAAGTTCTCCTCTGCTCCATCTTTGTAGATGCTTCCTCTCTGATAAAATTAAAAACTTTAAATGTTTTTTCCTGTTTCTCACAGTAGATCTCATTAAAAGTAACAAGCAGTACTCATGCTATAGCCTGAACATTAGTCTACCTTGAAATTTCTTCTGCCAGATTAATCACTTTTTCCTGCTTAATTTCTGTCTCCTACATTGTCTCAGATCATAAGCAAAATGTAGATAAATTTTCTGTCAGAGTATAGCGTACATGGTCTAGAGTTCAACTGCAATGGAGTCCTTGTTCCTAGCAGAAACTTTCTGAGCCTTATCTTTTCCACCTGCATTTTAATCAACATTCTGGTCTCCTGAGTCTCACTAGAATCTTCCATCAAAGCTTGGCATAAAGCACTTTAGGACTTCTCTAGACAGTATCTCCAAATATTTCCAAACTCCTACAAACCAGTTCCAACAACTTCTGAACCATATGGTGAAATAATCACAACAACCACTCCACTTTTTGGTGCCAAATTCTGTTTTAGTCACTTTCTCATCACTGAGACACTATTCAGTACCACAGCTTAAGGGATGGAAGGTTTATTTTGACTCACGATTAGAAGAAGTTTCAATCCAGATACTGGCTTTAAGGTTTAGAATGGCACTGTGAGCGAGGGCCCGGGCAGAGGAAAGCTGCTCACCTCATGACATCCAGGAAGCATGGAGTCAGAGAAGGGATGAAGAGGGAAGATAAACCCTTCAAAGTCATGCCTCCAGTGACTTGTATCTTCTGACTAGACCCCATTCCCAACAGCAGGTCAAGTAAAAGTCCTCATAGTCTAATCACCTTTCAGAGATCCCGCCTATGATCTCATGAGGCTTCAGGGTACACCCAGATATAACCATAATAGTGACAAAATTGTCACATACTCACAGTTAGAAGTATTTAGCACCTGGATAACTGAGGAGCAAGGGTTCCCACAGCAATGGTTTTGAAATATTTTATTTCATTTTTCTTAGTCACTAACTCTTTGTTCAAAAAATGCTTCCCTGAAAGCCTAAGACTAGTCTACTTGTCATAGAACCTAGGGTGAGCTCATATCCCTGACCTCATTCTACCCCCTTTTCCTTATAGTCCGCTCTGCAAACTTCCCTGAGGAAGCTTGTTAAAATAGAATTTGAAAAGCACTACTGAAAAATAGCAAAAGCATTTGCCTATGTATATAATAGGGCACTTAGAAACATGACTATAGTTCTGTCCTGAAGAGAAAGGTCTCCAAAAGCTTTTACTCAAAAGGAGTAAAACTCATATGTGATTCTTTGTCAACTTTATAAAAAGTTGTAAATAAAAGCAACTTTAGGAGCTTTGGATTCTTACTGATGTGTAACATACAATCTAATTGGGTAGAATATGCTCACAAGTACAGTACTCCTCAGCCCCTCCTATCCAGAAATCCTAGCCATTACTGATGGTAAAAACCTATATGCTGAGAAAGATCTGCATAACTGTTGTGTGAACCTGGGTAAGTCATATTGAAATTTCTTGGGACAGAGAGACCATTCAGGAATTCGCAGTGATTATAATGAAAAGCATTAACAATCACAGTGGCTAGCATTTATTGACCCTCTGTCTCTCTCTCCCTCTCCCCCCTCCTTCCCCCTCCCAGTCTCTCTGTCTTTATGTGGTGGGGGGATTGAGTCTTAGCTCTCTTATACATGATAAGCAGAAGAGACCCACTTTATGCTAGGGCAACGAGGGCTTTTTAAGAAGCAAACTGACATGCTCCTTTTTGCCTGCTTTGGAAGTAATACTGGTGTAGCAGTATAGAAGGACTATTAGATGAAGGAGACTATCCAGATAGGAACACCAGTGAGTAGGCTATCGTTAATAGGCCAGGTGAGCATTGAGGGTCTGCACTACCACAGTGGCACTGTCTAATCTTACTTAACATGCCCAGTATACTGTTAGTCTCTGTTCATCATGCTGATGACTGACCTTCCTGGCAATGGTTTCAAAACAATATTCAGGGGATCCCTGGGTTTCCTGCAGAGGTGTCTCAGGGGCCACCATATAAAAAAGACTGGTAGGCTTCTTAATCCTCATCCCTACTTCCAAGTAAAATGTTTGGACTTTCACATAAGATACTTGAAAGAGCTCGGGAATAATAGAACAGTTTTAGGAAAGTACTGACTTATAAAAAACTCCTTTTCCTTTCTCTGCTTGGTCAACTCTTACTTGACTTTCAGTAACCATTACAGATGTGCCCACCTCTGTAAAACTTTCCGTGACTCTCCAAGCCAGAGTTCATGTGTCTTGCTGCTCTCTTCCTCAAGAAGCCCATGTCCACTTCCATCACAACACTGACTGTACATTCTTTTTCCTTAAGTTTATTGGTACTGTTTAGGTATACAGCACAGTTACATTCATCATTGGGACCTTGTACCTTTACATGACAGGTCTTGGTTCTCATTTTTCCCCTTATCCCTCTCCTCCCTTCACCCCCTCCTCCCTTCCCTATTTACAGAGACTTTCTTTCTACTTTTACCTTTTCTCAAATTGTTTTCTTTTCCCCTACCCTTCCAACTTTTCCTACTCCTTTAGACCTTTTCTTCCTATTTCACATTTTCAATTATACAATTTGAATCTTATTTACACTTTTAGTTTTTCACACCAGAGAAACTATGTACACGTGTGTCCTATTCGTTTCACTTAAGAGTATGGCCTCAATGTGCATCCATTTAACTATGAATGACTCTAGTTTCTCTTTCTTTATGGCTGGAGTAGTACTCCGTTTTATAGAAAAACCATTCTTCTTGAATCAGTCTCCAACTGATGGGCAATTGGGCTGTTTCCAAGTTTTGGCTATTACACTCTGTGCTGTTATAAACATGGTGAGCATATATCACTGTGATATGATTCTTTTAATTCTTTTGGAAAGATACCCAGCAGAGGGATGGCTCGGTCAAATGGAACCTCTAGTCCCAGCTCTTTGAGGTATCTCCATATTGATTTCCATAGTGGTTGCACCAGTCTGCACTCCCACCAACAATGGAGAAGGGTTCCTTTCTCCCCACAACCCCGCCAACATTTGTTATTGTGTGATTTCTTGATAGCAGCCATTCTTTCTGGGGTGAAGTGGAATCTCAGTGTTGTTTTCATCTGCATCTCTCAAAAGACCAGTGGTGTTGAACATTCCTTCATATATTTATTTGCTGCTTTTACTTCTTTGTCTGAGAAATGTCTATTTATTTCAGATGCCCATTTTTGAATGGGGTCTTTATAGTTGGGGGACCTGATTTTTTTGAGTTCTTTATATATTCTAGATAATAGTTCTTTTTCTGAGGAGAAGCTGGTAAAATTTTTTTTCCACATTGTAGGTTGTCTCTTAGATCTGTTGGTGGTTTCTCTTGCAGTGCAGCTTTTTAATAAGACAAGATCCTACTTGTCGATTGTGCTAGTTCCTGTGCTAATCCTGTGAGGATTTTTTTTTCATAAAGTCTTTTCCAATGCCAGTGTATTCAAGAGTTCTACCTAACTTATCTTCCAGAAAGTTTAGTGTTTCTGTTTTAATATTGAGATCTTTAATCCACTTGGATTTTAGTGTAGTGCATGGTGAAAGATAGGAGTCTAGTTTCAATCTTTGGCAGGTTGAAATCCAGTTTTTCCAACACAGTTTATTTATTTTTTATTTATTCATTGTTTTTCCTCATTGAGTTTATTGATACATTTAGGTATACAGTACAGTTACATTCATCATTGGGATCTTGTACCTTTACATGACAGGTGTTGGTTCTCATTTTTTCCCCTTGTCCCTGCCCTCCCTTCACTCCCTCCTCCACAACACAATTTATTGAAGAGGCTCTCTTTCATCCACTGAGGATGGTTGGCTCCTTTGTCAGAGATGAGGTACCTGACCATACATTTTGTAGCCTCTGTTTGCATGTTTCTCTCCTCCTCTAGACTAGACTTCTGAAGGGCAGGTGCCTTATTCATCTTTGTATTCCCAGAATCCTACACCGAACTTAGAAATATTAATTTTAGCTAGCATTTTGGGGGCATTTATTATGTGCTATACTCTATTCTATGTGATTAATGTATTCTTTTCATTTGTAATGATCCCCATTTGGCAGAGTGGAAAGCCATGAAGTTAAATCAGTGGCTTCCAGCCATGCTATTAATAGAAGTATACTTTATTTATTTATCTGTCTGTCTGTCTATCTATCTATCTATCTATCTATTGGTTTTTTGAGACAGGATCTCACTTATGCAGTTCAGGCTGACCTTGAACTAGCTATGTAATCCAGGCTTGCCTTAAATTCACAGCGATTCTCCTGCCTCAGCCTCTGGAGTGCTGGAATTACAGATGTGGGCCGCCACGCCTGGCTTAATACTGGCATTTAAACCAAAGCAGTCTGCCTCTAGAAAAGTTGCTCTTAATCATTACTATCTTGCTTCAGCCACATAATAAGCATTCTTACATTTGAGCAAGAAAATGTATAAATTAAATGATGGTCATTAGGGCTAGAGATGAGAAGCGGCTTTTATTTTCTGTTTGATGCTGAGTTGAGACGCAAAATTTCTTGTGGGATTTGTTTGGCCATTGACTATATGCCAAAGAGTAAGTAACATATAAAATCACTCCTGTACTTTAGGACTTTGATGGATTTCAGCTTACATGAACATCTGTGATCAAGGCTAACATCTTACTGATGCATATAGCCATTAGAAAAGAGTTTAATGGAAACCTATTCCAGATATGAGTCTGCGATGTTTTAAATATCATCCCTGCCTAAACCATAGATGGTAAATTTGGGCTTGGGACAGCAGAGATGGAGGGGTAGTCTTCTGTGGCAGACTTAACTATTCATGCTTTTTCCTCCAGGCTCCTCTTTTGGAGTTTTGCAGTGGCTACATGACCTTTGAGCTTCACCCTCTGCTTAGAAAGCTGAATGTCATGCTGACTTGCCATTATTGTGATAAGCTCAAGACTGTATATAACAAGTATTCTCAGATGTAAGTACCAAGCCACAGATGAGGTTGGGTTTGTGTTCATTCTTGGGGATGCTTTCAAACATTACACACAGATTACTCTAACTTAAGAGAAATGCTTTTTGTCTTCCTTTCTGCTTTGGGGTTAAAGCAAGATAGGAAACCAAGGGCTGTATGTCCCACTTGTACCACTTGAAGTCTGTTTGGCTTTGGCCTATTTTATACTGATCTGACTTTTCTTTCTTGTGCAGAACATTCTTTGAAGTCACCAAAATTCCCCCCTTGGACATAGCGACGCTGGATGAGATTTTTGCTTACTAATAGAGCTGCGGTTCCGGCACTTTAGCAGCAGGCATCAGGGCCAGCCAGACGTACCAATAGGCTATATTTATTCTGTGATTGAATTTGTCTTTTATATACTTTTCTTCATTTTTCCCTCTCTTTGTTTGTCTTTTTCCAAATGACAATGTTGTATTTATTTAAGTGTTTGTTTTATAAAAGAAAAGTTATTTTGTTTTATTTGACTAGAAATTTAATAAAAAAATGGTGGTTGTTAAAATGGCTCATCTTCCTTCTTAATGTTCTGGAGCCCTATGCATAGCAGAAGAAATTTTTCTCCTGCTGGTAAAGTCTGTGCCTGGAGGTCTAGCTTATCTAATTTCCTTCTCAGTTTGCTTGCTTTGCTTAGATGATGAAACAACGGTAGGGATATGGAGTTTATTCTAAATGTAGTTCTACTTTTATAGTTAGCTTTTTGAAGTCTGAATTTGAAAAAAACTTGTTTGGAGTCATGCAATGAAATCTTTTGGCTTTGGACTTTCTGCTAAGGAAATTTCTAGTTGTGAAATCAGCAGAATGTCCCATGAATGCAAGCATCGCTTGTTCAATCTCATCCCTAAAACTTTAAATTCTGCTCTGTCTCTCTGTATCCTATTCTTGGGGCGATGTATACTGGGACAGTTATTCATTTATTGGGAGAGGAGGTGAATATCCACTGTGCTACTCATTTAAGAGCCACTGCTTCAGTCCCACCTATAGGACAGCAGTAATGTCTGCCACAGCTGAAGAATGCCAGGACTCTCTTCTCTATTTGTGGCTGGCTACTGTCCTGATTGATCTGTGGCCATTTGGTACCACTCATCAGTTCTTCTGAATATCAGCCCTGGGGTGGACAGCTGGTAGAGAGGGCTGTCAATGTAGTTGTTTTGGAGAAAAGCCCTCCCCATGTAGCTTTTCTGATGGGTTTTGACAGAAAGGCAAGCACGAGAAGCCCTTAGGTATCATTTAATCAATTTCCTATTCTGCTTCCAACTTTGCTTTGCCTCACAAATAAGACATCATTAGGTTCCTTCCTGCCCCATTCCAGTGCACTGCAAATGACTGAAGGGTAGAGCTAGAGAGGTCCAAGATGCTTGGCAGCGATTGTGCTAGCATAGCCAACTTTGCATAAATATTTGGAAAACACTAACTTCAAAATCTCCAGCCTGGCTAAAATGAAGAATCTTTTGAGACAAGGTTTCATTATGTAGCCCAAGTTGGCCTCGAATTCGTAGTTATCCTCCTGCCTCACTGAGTGCTGGGATTCCAGGTGTGTGCCACTACGCCCAGTTAAATGGAGTATCTTTTGCCTGCTCTTTAATTCTGGAGCTTCATATCAGGGGAAATAACCCTGCTATTTAGTGGCCCTAATGAACTAATCAGTCATATTTATTGCTGCTGTTGCTATTCTCTCAAAGTTTCTTACTCTCATCGCTGCTTCAAAAGATAGATATTTGTATCAGTCAGGGTTCACTAGAGGAACAGATTTTATGTATATTAGGCTTATGATACCTGCCTGTAGAACTGGAGCTCACTGCAAAACCCTGTGTGAGTCTGTATCAGGAAGCCAAAGGGTCTGCTGGAAGGCTGGAGACAGATGTCCAAAGGCGATGGCAAAGACTGGAGTTGCTCTGAAGAAGGAGAAGCAAGACTTCCTTCTTTCTCTTTTATTCCATCCAGACTACAAGCCTATTGATGCCACCCACACCCAGGGTGACTCTACCATCTTCAGTAAGTCAATAATCCATTCATACCCAGAACTGTGCAGAACTAATATGCTAGGCATTTCTTTTATTTTAATTGAGTTTATTCTATATTTTAGGTATACAGTACAGTTATATTCATTATTGGAATCTTGTACCTTTACATGACAGGTCTTGGTTCTCATTTTTTCCCCTTGTCCCTGCCTTCCCTTCACCCCCTCCTCCCCCCCCATTTACAAACACTTTATTTCCATCTTTTCATTTTCTCACATTTTTTCCCTTATTACCCTTCCCCTACCCATTCCACCTTCCCTACACCTTTAGCCCTTTTCTTCCCATTTCACAATGTCAGTTATCTCATTAGGACCTTACATACTATTACAGTTTATTCACACCAGAGAAACTATTTAGTATTTACACATATGTGACTTATTTATTTCACTTAGGAGTATATCCTCAATATATATCCATTTTCCTATCAATGAATCTAATTTCTCATTCTTTATGGCTGAGTAGTATTCTGTTTTGTAGAAAAACCACATCTTCTTTATCCAGTCTCCAACTGATGGGCAAATGGGCTGTTTCCAAGTTTTAGGTAAACTGTGCCGCTATAAACATGGGAGCGCATATATCACTGTGGTATGATTCCTTTAATTCTTTTGGAAAGATACCCAGCAGAGGGATGGCTGGGTCAAATGGAACCTCTAGTCCCAGCTCTTTGAGGTATCTCCATATTGATTTCCATAGTGGTTGCACCAGTCTGCACTCCCAAAAAACAAAGGAGAAGGATTCCTTTCTCCCCACAACCCCGCCAACATTTGTTATCGGTTGATTTCTCGATAGCAGCCATTCTTTCTGGGATGAAGTGGAATCTCAGTGTTATTTTCATCTGCATCTCTCAAAAGACCAGTGGTGTTGAACATTCTTTCATATGTTTATTTGCTGCTTTTACTTCTTTGTCTGAGAAATGTCTATTCATTTTGGATGCCCATTTTTGAATTGGGTCTTTATATTTGGGGGGATGATTGTTTTGAGTTCTTTATATTCTAAATAGGCAAAGAAACAGATCTAAGGATCAGTGGAACAGATTGGAAGACATAAAAACAAATCCAGATGTACTCAGCTACCTCATCTTCGACAAGGACTGACCATCCTCAGTGGAGGAAAGATAGCCTCTTTAATAAATGGTGTTGGAAAAACTGGATTTCAACCTGCCAAAGATTAAAACTGGACCCTTATCTTTCACCATGCATTAAGTTAAAATCCAAGTGGATGAAAGATCTAAATATTAAAACAGAAACAGTAAACTTGCTGGAAGATAAGTTAGGCAGAACTCTTGAAGACACTGGCATAGGAAAAGATTTTATGAACAAATCCTCAGTAGCACGGGAATTAGCAGAAAGAATCAATAACTGGGATCTCATCTTACTAAAAATCTTCTGCACTGCAAAAGAAACCATCAAGAGAACTAAGAGACAACCTACAATGTGGGAAAAAATTTTACCAGTTGCCCCTCAGACAAAAGACTATTATCTAGAATATATAAAGAACTGAAAACAACCAGCCCCCCCCCCAAATACAGGCATTTCTTATTTAAGGTGACATCACAATTAACTATCACAATATTAGAACTAAATCTTATTTTCCATCTTATCAAAGAAGTGCTATTTTTATCGATTTATTTTCATATTTTGATGATTCTTTAAATGTTTTTCCCTGTAATTGTATTTTAACAGTTTGATTGTGACGTATTCATATTCCAAGCAATTCATCCATTTAAAGTGTACAATTCAATGGTGTAAGTATACTTACACATTAGTACATCTATCACAACTGCCTGATTTTTGAAGCACTCTTATCGGCTCATAAAGAAACCACTATCCCATTAGTAATCAATTCCTATTGCCCATCCATTAGAAGTTAGTCCTCATCTCTCTTCCCCCTACTCTCACTGATTCACTTTTGTTCTCTATAGATCTGTGTATCTAGAATGTGTATCTTTTTGTGTCTGTCTTCATAGCATAATTGTTTTACAGTTTGTCCAGGTGATAGTATGTACCAATACTTCCTTTATTTTTATTACCAAATAATATTTCATTATGTGGATAATACCACATTTTGTTTATCTAGTCACGAGTGGGTGAACATTTGGGTTTTTTTCTACTTTTTGGCTATTGTGAATAAGGTAGTGAACATTCACGTATAAGTTTTTATGTGGACATCTGTTTTTATTTCACTTGGGTATATACTTGGGAATGAAGTTGCTAGATCATATGGTGACTTCATTCTTTTGTACACAGACATTCAGTTGTTTGCTCCAACACTTTGCTGATAGAAATTATGTCTCCCACCCCCCATAATTGTGTTGCCATCTTTGTTGAAAATTAACTGTAAATACAAGAGTTTATTTCTGGATTCTCTAATTTATTCCATTTACCTAAGGGTCTATCTTTAACCAAGTGCCACAGTTTTTTTTTAAATTTTTGAAATCTACACATAAAAATATCACTGTAGCTTTGTAGTTAGTTCTATAATTGGAAAATAAGTTCTCTATTTTTTCCTTGCAGATCATTTTAAATTTACTATTATGTTGGGGATATAGACCTAAATATGAGGCACAGGTCAGATTTCCATGGTTTTTTTTTTTTGGAAGATGAATTATAGCAAAGAAGGACGTCAGATAAGTTCTCAAGAGCCTGAGAGCTATAGCCTTAGCAAGATTACTCACATAATGGATCTAATCTAATTAAAAACAGGAGCCTCAATATAGGTGTACATTTCAAGCTGTAGTGAACTAGGGTCATTAGTGAATTTACTTACCTGAACCCAAAATAATACTGGAGCCTTGGTTTCTGAAGAAAAATCTCAGTTCTAGAAGTTCTCAGGATAGATTTTTTCTTAGTCCTGTGAAAATTCTAGTGACCATTTCCCATGTAGACTTTTCTAACTTGTCACTACATCACTTGAGGAAGATCTAGAATGTTCCTCAGGAACTAGGAATAAGGCTAGGGTTTTGATGGCCTGTAAGCTGTCCTTCTTGCCTCCCTATCAGCCTTTTTATTTCCCAAAGAGACTTTATACATGTCTCTTTGAATCACTTGCAATGAATGACAGCAGTCTGCTGGAAATGTAGACTACCTCTAAGAGTTACAGAATTTCTGCTTGTGTCTTATAGATTGCTTATTACTCAGTGACCCCCCTTTTTCCAGATTACTGCATGAGCATACAGCTTGAGAAAAGCATATGTGGAGTCTGAATAGATATATAGCTTGTTGCCTTTTCCTAATATCAATGCGTGAGTAAGAACTATTAGCTCTGCTTGTTTGTTTAGTTTTTATTGTTGTTGTAGTCATTTTTAGACAGTGTCTTACTGTGTAGTTCAGGCTGGCCTCAACCTCACATCAGTTCT